ACACAACTGTTTTTATCTTGTGTCTATTTTTAGTTGAGCTACTATCTGCTTCATGACAGGACTGGATGTGGTCAGTCGGATGCAACCCATATTCCATTACTTCTCAAGGATGGAACATTTCCCAATTTCAATCTGATACAATTGCTCGGAGCTATATTATCACAACTCTGGAAGAGTCAGTACAAGTGGTCAATTCAGCCATTCATCTTCTAGTCATGGAGCGTACAAGTATCCTTGCCTGTTAGTATTGTTGTAATTGAAACTTAGTATTTCATTTAATGTTGTTTCTTTAGTTTTATGTAATCAGTTAATGGTGATTAAGAGTGGCAACTTTCTGGGAATCTCAGAAATGTGGTCATCCACAATGATGTACTGAAATTTGTCAATGCAGTATCATGAGTCCTACGTTGGCTGTGCATAGGGGAGATTTTTGGGTGTATGGGTGTAAGGAATCCAGTTGACAAATTTTGGTTAGTGTTGAGAGTATTGTCCCCACACTGGGAAATGGAAACCTTATATTAGTTTTTAAAAGAGCTCCACCCATTGTCAATTGGTTTTGGGTTGGATGCTCCAATTCTAGCATGGTAGAAGAGCAGGCTATCCACGTGTTTGGCCCGTCAGCCACACGTGCTCTTCCACGTCACCCAATATGAGGTGTCCACATGTTTAGAGTATTGTCCCACATCGAGAAATGGCTTCTCCACCCATTGCCAATTGGCTTTTGGTTGGATGCTCTAATAACAGTTGTCTTTTGGGTGAGGAGCCAGGTCAGCTTGCCATTAAGTTGACAATTATTAGCCTTTTTAATCCTCACACATATAGATAAGTACATAATGTTTTATTGTTGTACAATCAGCTGTTGCTCCAGAGTTATTTGCATTGTTATTGTTATTGGAACTCGAGTACATACAAATGGAGACTTGACTGAAACTAGCTGAAAAAACCTTCAAACTTGTTCAGTCTCAGGAGCATGAACTAATTAACAAGTACAATTATGTTGTTAGTCTATGGAGAAGAGTAAGTAAATTGATCCATCACCTTGAGCTGTTCTTTACAGTCTAGTCTCTTATTTTCTTCTGGAGTCATTTACAATTGGATAATGTTGGTGTCTTCAGATTTCAACTGTTACTGGAGAATTGCGGTATGTGGATGCCATGAGACTGCTATATACCCTAGAAGATGCGTCAAAAGGGTTAGCTATCCAAGGCCTTTTACTTTTTAATTGTTCAGTTACAAATGTGGATCAACTATTAAACTACTAACGTCTCTATTCACATTTAATTTCTTTTTATTACAAGGAGACTTGAACCTAGGACCTCTACCCTCACTCCTCCCATCCCATGCCACTTGAGCGAAGGCTTATGCGCCTATTCTGCATTGTTTCTTTTCTTATTTCTGAACAGATTGTTCTAAAATGTTCTAGCCCTTAAGTGAAAGTTGGTTATTTTGAACTGAGTCAATTAGTTCAAATTTGATGGGCTGAACTCTGCCAAGTTGCTTCTTAATATATGAGAAAAAGATGGCTAATGGCATCCTGGGTTCTAAGGACTAAGCTTTTGGTCTATGTTGTATTTAGCTTTATATATATATTGTTGCTCTCAGTTTCCCTCAGCTTAAGCTTTTGGGACCGGTGGTAATTTAATAGGGTATCAAAGCCAGGTTGTGTAAGTTCTTGATTCAAGTATTGATAATCCTCAGATCTTAAAAATAAATAAATAAAAGAGATTATTGGTAATCCTCATCTTTGTTAATTTATGTTTCCTGCCCGTAAGCCCTAATTTGGTTAAGCTGTTTTGAGATCGTTTTAGTGTGATTGTCACTGTTGCTTGATATACATTGTTTGTTTCTTTTACTATTAGCTTCAGCTCTTGGGTTTTACGGTAGTTTGAGAGACCGAAGAAAATGAAAAGTGTGCTTTGTTGCTATTCTTCTTGGTTCTTATATTAGTAAACCGTTTTAAGCTTTTTAGTATTCCCTGTTCTTTCTGTTCATGTTTCTCTCGTTGAGCAGGATATTTGGCAAGCTGTTGGAAGTCTATTCTTATGCTAATTTTGGCTAATTTGTGAAAATCGTTTCTGTTGCAGGTTTGTTGATCAAGTAAATACAACTATAGCCATTCTCCACCCAATCCACTGCACAAGAGAGAGAAAAGTACATGTGGTGTTTAATGTGACTACAATTCCTGCTTTCTTAGTTGTCCTGGGTGTACTCTATCTTGTGTTAAGGCCAAGACGACCAAAGCCAAAAATTAACTGAAAATACTGGAAATGTGATTGATAGCAGTGGCTTCTGGAGATGCTTTTGAGGGAAGTGATTTCTAAGACATTCTCCTGGTTTGTTTGCGGCAGCGAATACTTTCACAAGTGATAGGTAAAGAGCAGAATTTTCGGAAAAGGCCACCAGGTACGAAATCGGATATAACTTGTGAAGTTGTCAAACCCCTTCCCCCTTGTAACTATAGCCAACGGTGAGTTTTCGTCTTTTCCTCTTGTAGTCCATGCACCATTTGGTCTATGAGCTCCAAATTTGTATCTCACAAGGTTGTGAAATACAGCAAAACTGAAATTCTTCTTGTTATAAGATGTTTTTTTGGGTCAGAAAACAAGTGGATACAGAATTTGTGATTAGCTGACCAAAAACAAGAATATTCGGGATTAAAGTCACCTGTCTTTAATTTGTACTGTGTAAAAACAATATTATCGTACACAGAAGCAGCCGAGTTGTAGTTTTACTATAACGTGTCTTGATGAGCAATAGATTTACTTGCATTTCTATAGCTGACATAAGATGTGGGAAGGGTCAATTACGTTTTGCACCGTTGTGGTTTGGGTCTTTGGCTTTCACTCGTACCGGTATATTGTTGCAATATGGTTCTGCTATTAGACTGCTGATCAAGAAATTTGTTAAATGAGGACATGGCGCGGAGCCCACTTTTTTTCTCAAGTGGAATAAATGATTTAATAAAAAAATTGAAATTCAATTCAAAAATTAGTAAACTTTTTCACTTTCGCATTTTCCTTCTTCCATGTCTTTTCCCTGACGACCACCCCGCCCCATCGGGTACATCGAAAATAACTGAAAAATCCCAACCCCAAGCCATTAACACATTCCCATATAATATGAAGATACTAACCACCTGAAGCCCTTTCAACCTAATCCCAAGTCATCACGTACCACTCTTCCCTGACCTATGACCTCTTGCCACCACACCACCCCGATGGATCCAGAACCCCATCTACACCTTAACACCCCCATCGACAAATACAATGTGGTATCATTAAGACTTCAAAGCAGATGGTGTAACACAAGTATATATCTATACCATAACAATCTAATGTGAAGGACAAGATAATACCAGCTGCTGGAAGATAACGACTTCTGGTGTTGTGGCTGCCCACTGCTCTCAGGCCATCCCTAACGGAGGGCTCTATGCTCCATGGAAATGAAAAAGCATATTCAATGGTAGGGGTGGGCACAGTCTGGTCCGATTTGATTTTTCTTTGGAATTGGAATCAAAATTGGAACTTACGTACGGTTAAATTCAGTTCAATTTTTATAATAAAAAAATCTAGAAGAATCGAACCAAATTGGACCTATGCGGTTTCGATTCAGTTCGGCCCGGTTTTTGGTTTGGAAAGATAAAAATATAAATATGTGAAGAAGAGAAAAATAGGAAGAATATAAAAATATGTACAACGAATAAAAGAAGAGAGAAATAGGTATAAGATATAAAATAAGAGAGAAAGAGGTAGAAGAGAGAGATGTGAAGAGATAAATAGGAAGAGAAATAGAAAAAAATAAGTAGAAAAGAAAGAGAGACGAAAGTGCAACAAGAACGGATATGGAAAAAGAAATTGAGGTATAGTATTTATTTAGTTGGGTATAAATTGAAACTAAGACATTTGGGTATTAATTGGGCTAAAATATGTAGGTATTACTTGGAGTTATTAATGTTATTTGAATGTAATTAGGCTTACTACTTATTTTGGATATAAATAAATAGGTAAACATAAGCTGTCTTGTTTGGTTTATACCAATTTTTCCAAGACAAGAATTGGGATATGAACCGATCCAAAGTGGTCCAGATTGTTTTTGAGCCTAGGTTGACTTTTTTTTGTCAACAAATTTTTTTTTTTTTGGGACTCGGTTTGGCTCGAGTCATTGGTTCACCTATTCAAATGCCCACCCATATCCAATGGAGCCAAATTCGAGCTATATGGCCAAACCCACCCGAAGAGTCCTCTTTAGCTTGAACTTCTGGTTCAACAATCCTCAACTCAATTCTTGAAAAGTAAGAACCATAAATTGAGAAAAGACTTGAATATTGAGGTAAGTATGAATGTGAAGGCTGGAAAGAGATTGAGTATGGATGTGTTAAGTGTAGTTGATGCGTTGTTTAAACTGACACACAGTGGCTCATTTTGAATTCTTACTTTAAGAGGTCATGGTGTAAAAGTTGCAAAAAAAATTTAGATGAAAACAACATTGAAAAATTAAATGATAGTTGTGCGAGCAACTATATACACGCAAATGACAGAATGCCAGGTGGACAAGGGGTCAACATCGGCATTATCCAACCAATTTTATGGCGTCCACAATGACAGGACCCGCCCCGAATTTTCTCGGAAACCGAGACGGACCCAGCCTAATTACCGACATCACCTCGATGCCGGGCCCACTTACTAAAGACCGAGACTTCTACCAAAAATTTGGCAGAGTCTCCCCTGTAAATTGAACATTCCCAAACTTCAACTTGCTCAAAATTTACAGTTTATAAACCCAACCAGCAACATGCTTTACAAGCAGTTAAAAAGTTTACAACAAAGGCCTCCAACCTCACAATTCAAACCCTAAGCGGGCGATACAGAGCATATCTAAGAAAATCAAGTACAACAGAAACAGAGTTCCACTGGAAAAGAAAGATGAAGGAGTCCCTACAAAGACTCAAGGTTCGGAAGCACCCGATCCGGTTCGACTGCGGAGCTCAGTCACTACTGGCTGGGGGGCGCAAAACAGAAAATTGTGAGTGGACAAAAAAAATAAAGTTCAGTTCAAATAAATCAACGTAATATAACCCCACCGTTATAAAATCATGCAAAAATTCCAAATGCATCTTAAAATCGTCATAAGCGAGTATATAAACATATACTAAAATAAATACCGGATACCAAGTCCGAACTCCGTGAACACTTCACAAACCCACCATTCAAAACTTAAAAGTCCCGAAAGATTAAACTCTCGAAAACGTACTCACTGGCACGACCGGCAAGGAAGTATCCTTACCAAGAAACAAGAACGAATGAATGTTCATATATATATATATATACATAATAATATATAATATAATAATAATAAAATATAAATATAAATATAACCAACATTTAGTTGTACCGGGGAAACAATCTAACCGGGGGATTGTTTGACTAGTCCACATGGCAGAGCCATTCTTTAATTCACCATGTGACTAGGGAACGAGTCGTCCAACTGGGGGACTAACTCTCAGCCAGCACGTACAGACTAGATACTCAAAGCTTGTACGCCTGAAAAACCAGTCCTACGTGCGCAGACTACCCCAAATCCAGGGTCTACAGCAACATCCCATTAAGGATGTCCCGGGTTCTGACAATTCCAAGTATCTCAAGTATTAGTAACCAAGTTTCAAATCCGGGGAGGTATATAGGGTAGTACTTAAAGCACTCCAAATAGATATTTCAATACTCAACCCTTTCCACAAACTCATTTCAAATATATCAAAACTCAAAATGTCAATACTTCATAAAAATATCAATTTCCACCATTGAAGAAATAATATATCCAAATATACCAATAAACATTATGCATAAATTTTCCCATCATAAAACCATGCACATTATTTAAAAACAAAGTCCACTCACAAGTAGTCCCACACTGCTTGACCTTGAGAGGGTTCCGCTTGCTGCGTATGCGTGGTCGGAGTACCTTACACGTCCAATTTGGTTGAGAATTGAGAGAGAACGAGCCGTTTGAAGTTTTGGAAAAACCGGCGCGATTTCTGCGACGGCTGCGGTGGCTGGCGGTGGGGCTTGGACCAGGTGGTGACGGCGGGGCAAGGCTGGTCAGTTTGGTAGCTGGGTTGTGAGTTGCAGTGGCCGGAGGTGGTGACTGCGTTTTTGCAGTTGGGGGAGGGGGAAGACAACGCATGGGGAGAGAGAGAGAGAGAGAGAGAGAGAGAGAGAGAGAGAGAGAGAGAGAGAGAGAGAGAGAGAGAGAGTGTGTGTGTGTGTGTGTGTGTGTGTGTGTGTGTGTTTTTCAGATTTATTAAAAATCAACTTCGAGAAAATTACAGTTATGTCATTGAACTAGTTTTGATCGTAACTCATTCGTTACAACTCCGAATCGAGCCCACTATGTGTCTACAGACTCATCTCAGTACGAACTACCCGACAACACCATTCATTGCTCTAAACTCTCTCTGGATAATAAAATGACCAAAATACCCCTACTCCAAGGGTAAATTCATAAATTCACTTAAATAAATTAAATCAGGAATTAAAATTGGAGTCGGGGCGTTACACACAAGGTCATCCTACCCTATTTGCTCCTCTGCCAGTCCGCCTCTGTCAGCATGTCCCATTAATTGTACACATCATCTAAACATACATATATATATATATATGGGATTCTTCAGTAAGTATTTAAGTTCAAGATTGGTTACATATTTCTAATTTCAGCTGTTGAATTGCATTCATTAGATGTGTTGGTTAAATTTAATATGCAGCCTATAAGCAATCCAACGGTCGAGATTAGAAATATATAACCAATTCTTCACATAAAATACTTGTTAGAGAATCTCCTTATATATATATGAATTAGAGCCAATTACTAAATAGTGGGAAAACGAAAAACAAGTTAAAAATTGAGTAGAACGTGCAACTTGAATCGTTGGATTTTATTATCAGTAGCTAGACATAAAATGATAAAAGAGATAAAGTATTCTTTTAAAGGTTTCTACTCTGATTTTATATTTTTGAAATTGAATATTAAACATTTGAATTGCCATTTCTCAATTTCTCATGTCACGCCAAATCAAAAATAACAAAATGAAAAAAAGTAGAGGCACTGCATAAAAATAGGTATTTATTTATTTTTTGGTCAAAATTTGAAAGGAGATGTGAGGTGTAATTGGAGTTCAAACCTTAGACCGCACCACTTTAGCATAAAAATAGGAGTTGAATGACACATTACTACAAGCTTTAAAAGTTTAGTGACATTCAATTCAAGAGAAAAAAAAAAACAGCTGAGCCAAAACAGTAATTAAGATTTTAAAAGGGAGCGGATTTTCCCACTCTTCTTTTCTCCACTTACACTCCCCTTTTATTTTCTAGAGAACTTCTCTATTATACCCAAAATAGGGGCTGAAATTATTATTATTTATAAAAAAAAAAACTAAAAAAAAAACCTACATGGAATGCACTTTAAAAACACACCCAAAACTCATTCACTACATAAGAAATGGGTGTTTAAGTTCCTATAAATTACATGATTGCACTGATTAATTTTAAAAAAGCCAACATAAAAAACCTATAGATAAATTTAAAAAAACTAAAACAAGCCTAGCCTAGATTTAAAAACAAAACCTAAACAATTTATTTAAAATAAATTCGCAAAAACCAAATAGAGGCTCTTCATAGAAGTGCATTGTTAATACTATGTCTTATAAGTACATTGTTAATACTTTGACATAGAAGTACATTG